TTGTTGGGTAAACTCGGTATTGTTGTGTTTTTAGGGAAGTCAGTTCACTCAGAAGTTCCGAATTTATGGTGTTGCGCTTGTTTCACCATTGCTTTTTCATTGAATAGGCTCTTTCTATTATTTACTGTTTGTCTATTGCAGCCGCTCTGCTTTCGTGTTCTTACTCTTCGGAATAACCACCTTTATTGAATCTTCAATCATCTACTACTACTACTACCTTTTGATGTATGCGTCACGAATCTACTGCGACAGGGAGAAGCACCCAACGCCTAAAACAGACCATTAATTCCCCATCACTGTCATTATCGATCTTATGCCCGCCAGCGCGCATGCACAGTCGTCGCGCCCACTCGGCGATAGGGTATAAATGGGCGACTCTGGCTTGTGCTGGTGCTAACAAAACACATTCTATTCATTGTTGGCGAATCCAGAAGAGCTAAGGGAGAAGGGATCATGACAGTTGGCTTCCTCATGAGGACCTGAATGTTGTGATGTACGGGTGGGTTCATAATGTAGAATGTGAGCATGACTATGAAAAAGCGGTGGGGAGTAGCTTTGTTGCTCCGTTTGTGAAAGGATAGGGCAAGGTGAAACTCCCTTCAATGGAAATATGCATTCGTGTGCTTTGGTGTGCATTTATTTGAGCGAAAAGTGTCCCAAGGTACGCCATCGCTTCACGTTCACGACACCGTTCCGAGACGGAACACTCACCCAGAACTAGATGGACGCGGCAAATGGCGCGGCGAGATTCGTGGCGTTTAGGAAGACTTTTGCACCTATCACTGGTTCGCAAACTTGGAGTAGAGTACATTACTAAGGTCGATGATTGTACTAATCGATTCTACTTCAAATTTGGGCCCTAATAATAGGCACTTAAGCCGTTTAAATCGCCACGAGTTCCGCCGCGCGATTTGCCGCGTTCATTCAGTTATGGGTGAATGTATGTACACACGCCCCTTTCATAGTCCGCCGGCCGTCCCGCTAGCGCGGCGGATCATGAAAGCAGCCACTCGCGTACTTGTCGTGGTACTGTAAGCAGAAATTGCGTGCACACACAGTTAATGCTATTTTTGGAAACATCTCAATTTATGTTGTTGCGCAATTTTGTTGATGCTCGGGCAATTTTTTTAGTCTTCCAGATTTCGACCCAAATGCGTGTGAAGATAGGTCACTATGCAATGCTGATCTCGACCAAGGAGTATGTGTAGACATGGCAACTGTGAATGGTGGGTACAAGTGCAAATGTAATCCATCGTATACTGGGTCGAATTGTGAAACAGGTAAGTTGTTATCGCACCGAGCTGCAGCCGGCTCGACTTTGTGATGTTTGATTTCAGAGAGAATCGATCCTTGTACAATAAACTTATGTTCCTCCCATGGCCAATGCGTCTCTGATAGAACCTTGTGGACATCGCGCTGCGAATGTGACATTGGTTGGGCTGGGGAATTTTGTCAAAGTAAGTAAAAGAGTTAAACATTCTATGTCGTTTTTCCTAATGGTTTCGAGAGTGGATTACCTTTTATTCGCTTTTGAATCGAAGGGATAGGTGTTGGAGTGGTCCGGAGTTGAACGCCGTCTCTTACGTGATATTAAATCTTTCGAATAGGTGACCGCTCTCGTCGTTCACGCCGGACAACTCCCAACTTTTAGGAATAACGGCCTTCAAGCAATGGCTTGCACGACAACTTTTACTGTTTGATTGTTATCTGAACGGCCGAACCATTGTTTCAGATGAATTGAAATGCATGGTCAATCCCTGCCTGCATGGCGGTACATGCAAGGAGGAACCCTTTGAAACCTATAGCTGTGAATGCCTGCAATACTATACTGGAACACATTGCGAAAGTTAGTGACTTGTCCTCCGTTATTCGAAGACTTTGGTAAGATGGTATTTAAGTATAATTAGAATTTTAACTTTGGATAATGATTCGATAAAATTCAATGATCAAACTGAATTTTGAATTAAATTTCATTATATTATACCTACTTCGTTTTCATTTTACAATTCTGTTTCTTTTAACTCGGGTCTATAGGTTTGCATAGTGGATCAATACGCATCACTTGCATAGCTGAGATTGTGTTTGAACGAATCTTTCACTGTGGCGTTCTTGTCGTTTGGGGTATTCCTCACAGGTAGAACGTAGAACTTCTCTTTGTTGCCGTCTGAAAGACGCGGCAAACCCTTTATCGCGCGAAACGACACTGTTATTAGACGATTTTTCGCGTCTCTCTCTCGTTCCTAAACACTTCGCATGCGTAACAGTAGATCGGGATAAGTGGGAAAATGTTTAAAACTGAATAATTCTGACAGTAATAGCTGAATTTTTTGAATTTTTGAGTAAGAAAGAGTTTTCATGATCTGTGTTAGTTAACCTCTTTTCAGATGTAAACAAATGCGAGTATGCAAATAATTGTGTGAATGGGACCTGCGTACCAACAGTAGACGGTACTATTCCCAACAATACGTGCGAGTGCATACCTGGCTATGAAGGAGTTTACTGCGATCAAGGTATGTGACGCTTGAGTGGATTTCTGTGCCTATGTATTCTATGTCAGGACACCAGTGCTGTGAACGCAGTTGGCGGCTGACCCTCCACCCGTCGCACTTACGGCGCATAGAAAAAAGCCTTGAATATATGTGCTGCTATACATTTCGGACTGCCAGTGTGAATAACTATAAGCAATACCCTGTATAACCAGATATGGATCAGCGCTTGCGACGGCGTCGAGTCCAGGGATTGAAGATGTGGTGACGCGATTCTCCACGGTGCGCCTCGTTGCGCGCGTCCGCCGAAACTAGGTCGCGCCGCAACCGTCGCATGCGGCGAGTCGGCCCGCGATACTTGATGAACGTCGCAATTGTCAGTGGGGCATACAATTTGCGCTTCGTCCATGGCAATCAGCTCAAAGAGAAAATGACAAATGCAGATCATCCGCTCCACTGACTCTTGGTGGTACTGTAATGTCATCTCGAGGCCTCGGTGGGGTGCGCCGCGCGGGAAGTGTGCTGGGTGACTTACATTCGACGGGCGCGCGTAACGGACGTCCCCCCATCACACCAGCCGCTGAACGGCGTCCCTAACCACTCGTCACATAAGTGGCGAATCGAAAAAAGCCTTGAAATGCCGCGTCGGTACGCAATAGCAGGCTGCTCTCATGAATAGCTACAAATAACACTTGTGTATATTGCTGGTCCAGTTAACTACTTTAGATGGGAGCTCATGCGAAGGCCGAAGCTGTCTTTTTTTGGAAGGCTATTTATGTGAATGAAACGGAAAGTGGGATACATAGCGGTGGATTAGGTACGTACCGTTCCGCGATGAGAAGTTTCAACAGATTCTGTTTGCAAGACAATGAGGGACCAAAACAAGCTCCTTAAATCCTATAACCGATGAGCGCCTTCCGGATACGAAGTACTGCACATGATCAGGTAGCTGCAAACTCCTATTTTGCTGATTGTAATGATTCAGATATTGACGACTGTGCCTCTAGTCCTTGTTTGAATGGTACGTGCACGGATCGCTATCTAGGATACAACTGCTCATGTTATATCGGTGTAACTGGAGAAAACTGCGATATAAGTAAGTGAACCTTGTTGTAATATTACAATTCACTTTTTTTTCAAATGAAACATGGATTCCATTTGAATCACTCGCCTCATTATGTGTTTGCTGCCACATGTGGACTACTGTATTCAGTTGAGGTAGAAAGTAGTATGTCGATGTCGAAAACCTTCTTGATTTCCGGCTCTGTTCCGATTTTCGGTATACCTGAGCTTAGCCGTATCCCAAAGCTTTGGAACTAACGACTGTATTCGGATGTGGTCGAACTCAACTAAACTTGTCCGTCTCCTGTTCTTAACGAGATTTTTTGCTGGTTCACTTCACTAGGTGTAAGTATAGTGACGAACGGCCGTACATCTCAGTTATGACCAACAGAGCGAATTCCGGATCAGTCAGTTCCCGCTTAAACCAAACGTCTCGCCCCTTTAGAGCCGGTTTATTGTCATCAGACGTGGTTGGTATTCGGGGAACTTTTTAGTTCTTGATGGGAATCGAATTCTTTCCTCCCCGGTTTCCTCGTTTTTCGCATAGGTTTGGGACCTCCCGGAATCTTTGATTTTTAGTTTTTCCTTTTGTGAAGATATGTAGTAATGCAAATGCTCTTTTTTTCTTGAGTCTATGCACAATTCAGAAGCATTTTCTTCTGGGTGTGGTGCAGTAGGGACGAACTTGTCGCGTCGCGGCGAGAAAGATGTCGCGCGCGAAGGAGTGTATCAGAATGCAGCAGCAAATGAGAAATACAGGAACAAAGGAACTAACAGTAGCATCATGCCCAAAGTAATAATCGCATAGCGATTGTGCAGTATGAAGAATGCTAGAACTGTAGCAACGAGGCAAATGGTCAGCGACGGCCGCGTGCGGCGTATCGATTACTCATGACCGTTCCTACTGCCCGTCTCTTTCTCTAAGTAATCGTTCTGTTACAGCTGTACGTTCTTGCCGCCTTTGTGCTTACGTTCCTCTTCTTAAATATTTTATTACAGACGAGAACGATTGTAAACCATATAGAACAGCAGATGGTGAATGGCATGAAAACCGCTGTAAAACGAAGGACAGAGATGCGGAATGTGTCGATGGATTTGATGAGTTCACTTGTGTTTGCTCATCACAATGGACGGGCGATTTCTGTGATCTGAGTAGGTTCTACTTCGAACCTTGATAGTATTTCAAACTATTCAGGTGAGCAGAAATCACGAGCGTACCAATGTTACAGTCACATTTACGGTTTTAGCGTTTAACTATTCACGTATTCAATTTTTCTTTGTGAAATAACTCAGAAGACCTTTCTAGATCCACGAGCTGTTTACTACTCACAGTTGCTTATTTTTCCCTACATAGCATTTTTATCGAGTTTTGAATACTCATTGTAAGCCTAGAAATACTAGTGTTTGAATTACTTTGACAGAAAAAGACAGTGCCGCACAGAAATTTCAAAAATGTATGGAATCAGTAACAGTACCTTCGGCTAGTGTGAACTCTTTTGTTAAGATGCCCTTCTTCGTGATGTCCTCATGAACATCTACGGCCGTGTCGATTTAGAAATGCTTCCGGTGAGTTTACATTACTATTTGAGTTCATTCAAAAGAATCTATTAGGAAAGTAAGAAAGCAACGGGATCACTTTAAATAATTGATGTAAGCAACATTCAGAATAATAATTTTTAGTTGATCCTAGGGGCCCTATTCTAGCACTATTTATCATTTTCAGTGCTCGGCAATCTTGATAGGCCCACTAGAATGAAGCAATTCAGCAAGTGCCAGCATAGCAATAATTTCCGCTGACAACAAGCGAGCGATAAGTGACAGACGGTAACAAATGATATTGAGCAGTAGCTGGCAGTATTACGTGGAAATAACATATGTGAAAGGGCTGTAATTATAGGCTCGGATAGGGGTTTTTCCTCAGAAAAAAGAAGAAATCAAATAGTCCTACTAGACACCATTTAAGCCGTCCACGATAAACTTCAATTTCGAATTGGATGCAATAATTTGTGAGGCATCCCTGTCAATGGTTTGACTTTGAGCTGATTTTTGAACGATCCGCCCATGGGCACATACCGCATTGAAGTATTTTGTTTGTCCGTACTCATTCCGGGCTATCGATATGATTGGTATTTCAACTCACTCATTTTCAGATGCTTGAAGATCTGCTGAACAATCCATCACAGATCAAGGATATGGTCCCCTTTATTGTTGGATTACAAGAAAGCGACAGGCGTACAGACATCAGTTGGGACTACAGTGACCTGTTTCATTGGGCCACGTTCGAGGAGAAACCTTTGGTTTTGGAGTGAATTTGGCTACATTTATGGGATATCGGTACTTAATATGCTTCTAACTGTTTCGTCGATTCAGGCGTGATCTTCATAAATGGAACGATGTTGTATTGGGAAACTGTTTTACTTTTAATCACAGACTTAGTTCACTTGATTACAAAATGCGCTCGTCCGGCATTCAAGGCGGTCAGTTTTTTCTCGATCTTATTATGAGTTATGTATGGCAACACCTTTGGAACCAAGCAATTTTGTTGCAGAGAATAATAATTTCCATGTTAACTTTGAGCAAAAAAACGTCAGTAACCCGTTTTAAAGGATTATTTTTTAATGTACTTCTTCAATTTTTTAAATATCTTCATGGCTTTTAAAGGATTACAAGTATTAATGAGGGTTGGATCGGATGAATATGCACCATGGTTCGATACAGCGGCTATTTTGGTATTCATCCATAACAAGAACGAGTACGTGTTTTCCGAGTCTGTACGCTACAGTGCGCAACCTGACGGAGAAACCCTGATTCAAGTTCGAGATGTGAGTAAACCATTTTGTGAATAGAAAAATCAAATCAGACATCTGCTAGTTCATAGCGAGATACCATTCTGTAGCAAGGAGTATTATCATGCTCGACGACTGTCTTTTTGTATAACTTTTATCTCTGTCGTTCTTTATATCATTCTTTCAAAAGTTTTTTTTTTCTGTAATTTGAGCTCTAGGCTACAGTGTATGCTTGAGTTAGTAAGAGAGGGTCTTTATGTTTGGGAATTGACCATTTCTATTTGAGATGCGGTAGCCTTGACCTATTCGAAATATGTTGTTCGTTTATCTCCCACTGTGCCTTGGATCCCTTGCTGAAATATCTGTTTCCGAAATGTACTGAACTATTTCATGGTAAAGTTTACAGCGGTGTTTTGATTCTGGGACATTGTGAAACAGGCATGCTTGCTTACTCAAGCTCGTCCTCTGTCCCCTTTGCCCTGGTATAATGCTACGCATGTCAGACTTCGTTTTGTCATTGAGAAATTGAGAATCATTGAGAAGTAAATTCGTTGGGGGAGATCCTTCATCACTGATATGGAACCAAAATGTTGCTAAAAAGCCTATTAGCCCTTCGAAGTGTCCTTTCGAGTAGCTGTTTTGGAGATCTTGGGAAACGTCCGTTCCGTGCGTCCGTCAAAACTAGGTTATAGGTTAAATCACTTGACGGCGCAGCCCATTGCGATTTCGAGATGACATTATAGTACCACTAGGTGTCAGTCGAGCTAATGATTTGCTTGAACCAGTGTTACAGTCTCTTTAACCTGACTGCCGTGGATCAAGCGCAAATCATACGCCCCGCTGACATCTGCGACGACTGTCAAAAATCGCGGGGTAACCGCCGCGTGCGACGGCTGACCCAGTTTCGAGGACGCGCGGAACGAAGCGCACTCAGAAATCATGGAGTAGTATTACTTCATCAAAGTACAAAGTTTAAGTCAAGGAAGTTTTCCTTCTCCTTGTTTTCCTTTATTTCTCCTTGTCACCTGTTCCTTGCATTCGATGTGACCGAAAGAATTGGGTGTTTTGCTACATTCCCTAGTAAATTTCTATTCCAGACAAAATACACGCGTCTTGCTGGCAAATATGGAGTCTGTGTGAAGGATCCGTCAGAAGTAAACGCTTACTACTACGACGGAATGTACACCACAGATGTAAGTGAGCATTTGGAACCAACAAATTGCATGCAGACCTCTCTAGCTGAATATGAAACAAGAAAAGGAGAGAAATGTAGAGATGTTAGCAAAAAAAAGTATTAACCCGATTAGTTCACGCTTGCACTCGTTGGGAAACTTTTGATAGTCTCACCTGTGGGAATTTTCCAAAAAATAATTGGAACGCTCAGAGGAGTGATAGTAATGATACAACGAATGAAAGATGCTTGAAAACCCCGAGAAGACAGCATCTATGTGTGGCCACTTGGTTGGTGCCTTTTGCGCCCATTATGTTGTCCACTCTTGTTGGCTTGGGAATCCCATAGGCTGCTTTCATAGTCCGCCGACCGGCGTGCCGTGCCGGCGGACTATGAAAGCAGCTTATGGGAGCGTACTGGACAGTGGAACAGCTACACCTCGTGCTCTACTAGCTCCTAGTTCTCTCCTCCCACATATTCAACTGGTCTCCCACGTAACCATCGTCCTATCCTACGAGTACAACTTACGTGTACTGCACCTCAGTGTACTGTTGTGTGGCTGTTCATGGTCTGTGCCTGTTTACGTGCTTCTGAAATGAATGCTTACCAGTGTATTTCGTTAATTATTTCCGTGCCAAGTATTATGGTAGGCACTCGCGGGTCCACTGAGCGCTCGTTTACACTAAGCGTGGACCCTTCGCAATCGTATGCCCTCCACGTATGACTGATGCATCATTGTAGTATGAACCTTATAGGGATGTCTTCGCTCATGTTATCAAGATATGATCTTCAAGGAGTGCGGATGTATGGATCCACGGTATCCGGTGGCCCCAAATACAACCACATGCGAGCTTGCCAGAAGTAATCAGATGAAAAACTTGTTATTTGATTGTAAACTGTGGAGTTAGAAGTCATTTAAGGACAATGTATTGATGATGCCGTCGAAGAAAATGGTGATCCATCGGATTGGGATTCCTGTATCTGCCCATTACCGTGCTCCAATCAGCAATACTCGGTGGAGTGGCATCGGACCACGTCCGCTTCGGAGGTTTCTATTTTGATCTCTTTTTTCATGGTCAGTACTATAAACTATTGTACATATAAAATGTATTATAGCCAGCACGATGCTTGGATTTATCTATCGAGAACTGTACGCTAATGACAGAAGATGACGTTC